GATAAAATATTGGTGATATTACGGTGGATAATTGTTGACATATTTGATAAAGTTTCGATATCTTTCATAGGAATTGAGACAATTGAGCTCAAAATTCAAGGGTTGGGCATATCAGAGAAATTTTTACATTTCTGCAACGCAGTAACTTCAATTTCCAAATGAGCCATTGCTTAACCCAACTTTCATCATTTCAATTCTCATCTTTATAATCCCAATAACAGTAATTCTCTCTTGACCCTATCCTCTACCTATCGAAGTCACCAAGCCGCCCCCTTTCGCCACGTTGCTCCTGGGAATCATGCCACCCTCCCCCCGTGACCACGCCTGGCCCAAGCAAAATTGCTGGTTTTTCTGCTTTCTGCATAAGGAAAAAACCAGCAATTTGCTGAATTGCTTCTCACCGAATAACCCCATTAAAGGTAAAAAATTCTTACAGCTTAATCTAGGGTAATTAAGGGGGCACATGATTTGTCAGTGCATTTAACAGAAGCTGTTGGAATAGCAATTGCTGCCTGGAGAGTGGCAAGAGGGATCTGAAACTTATTATTTTTATTTCAGGTACCGCAAACCTGTAATAGATGTACCCCTCAACTTTGAGCCAATTTTTATCGGTTCCTGTCAAAGATATCAAAAATTTGTCAACTGATAAATTGTTTATCATAATATCAGAAATGTTTTGTCTGTTGACAGATTGTTGATATATTGCATAGAAATTAAGATAATTGAGCTCAAACTTCGCGGTGTGGGAGCCCTTCTATTAAAGGTTTTACGATATTCAGGAGCTTACTGATAGAACGATTGCGGTCAGAAAAATCACACAAACTGCAATATAAACTGTTCGTAATTTGAGATATTGATTGAAAGCAATAGGGTTCAATACTCCCAGGTACAGTATCGCAGCCATTCCAACATAAGAACCTGGAATTCATTTTGACCAATTATCTTGATTCTTCAAGGAAAAAATTCTCAAAATGATCAGAATAACATCACCATCTTAACCGCAAAAATATTTAGTATACTATATAAATACTGTAATATGTTTCTATTGTTTTTAGTCTGAATTTCCGTTAACTCTACCGAAAGCTAATAATTTTACAGCCGATGGTGATAAAGGCTAGAGTGCCAGAGAAACCAGACATGACCTATTCATGTTTATACACATTGCGAAGCCATTAACTTGCTAATTCTAGAAATTTATCAAATTCAAAACCATACCCAGTAGCACATAAGTACTTCCAATATACAAAGCCAACGCCAACACATAATACGGAAAATTTCCAGAAGTTGGAGCAATAAATCTCAAGTAAATGCATTGAATCAAAAGCCACGCACATGAAGTAAGTAATCCAGCTATACATCTAGTGATAAGAAAAATGTATTTCTTTTTTGTACCATCTTGCATTTTTCGGTACAAAGGGATGATTATGAGAAGACAGTAGATATTTATAAGACCTGCTATGGAGAATAAGGTGACAGATGGGTTGACTCATTTTGAAATTGCCATGGACAGAAAAAATGATAGAACTTATAAAACCGAGTCGTGTTTGTCAAGGGAATTATTTGAAAGAGTGTTTTAGGTACTTGTGAGATGTGATTGAAAAGAAAAAAAAAGATGATTTATAGTTAAATGTTTATTAATTGTTCTAGACGAGGTGGAAAATTCAACTCGGTCTGTGTTATTTGGCAGACTTCTTCTTCTTTTTCTTTTTCTTCCTCTATTTTCTTTTTCCGGGAAAAATGTCCAGTTATTGCTTGGGCTAGTCGAAAACACTGATTTTTTATAGATCGGACCTGAAAATATTAATTTAAAATGCCAAGCTCATTTTCAATGTATCCACTTGGAATCGAACTATTATTAGCAAATGTCAGAATTCCAAATTTTATCGATTTTTTGAAACCTACCTGGTTTTTCGCTTGCCTTGACACCGTCTTATCCAAGATCACATTTATAAGTGGGTCCATAATCAAGGCAACACTCCAGATGGAGGATTCAATTAGGGCGAATGACGCTTCACTGATGATTTCACTGGCATGGTAGAACCAGTAACATCCGGTTATTGTGCCGGCTGAAAATCGAAATTTCGGAAGTTTTTGATTCTCAAATAATTTCAGATTTTCAATTACCATGCCTTCTAATCTCCATGAAAACAAAAGGGATCACTTCTCCTATAGAAATCAGGATTACGGCAAAAAGTGTCCAAGCTAGAAGACGTATTGCTGAGTTTAGAGAGGCATTGGATTCGGTGTCCAGTTTCATGAACACTTTTCGATGTCGTAGAAGAGAGATCAGAACAAATGAAAGGATGATGTTGGCTATTACAAGAGATCCAGTAACGAGAAAGACTGTAACGATCGGGTATTGTCACCGTAAACACTAATAGAAGGTAATCATATTCCTTTTGATAGCTCTCACAGGAACCGAAATAAGACACTGTAAACACTCTAATACGTAATAAGACACTGAAAAAAACTCTAATAGTAGAAGGTCACCCGATACTTGCACTTTGAGCTCAGAGTGTTAACAGTATCTTAAATTCCGTATAAAAAGAACTTACAATGAATAAGAGTTACCAGTGGATTGCATGATTTGTCAGTGCATTTAATACTGACTGGAATGGCAATTGAGGCTTGAAATATGGCAAGAGGGATCTGTAGAAATTCAATTTTCTTTGCATTTTTCCTCATATCTTTACCGATAAAACAATTGCAATAAAGAATATAATACACACCGCTATATACACAACTCGTAAAGTGAGATACTGATTGAACATGGCCGGTTTCAAAACTCCAAGGTACAGTATACCAGCCATTGAGACATAGGAACCTGTAAAAAATGTTTTCAATATTTTTTTCAGGTTTTTAAAGCTTTTAAAAATCGAAGTCTAGGTCATGACCTAAAAGTAGAAATCTAGGTCATGGCATAACAATGGAAATCTAGGTCGTGGCCGAAAAATTGAAATCTAGATCATGACCAAAAAATTGAAATCTAGGTCATGACCTAAAAATTGAAATCTAGGCTACGACCTAAAAATTAAAATATAGGTCGTGACCTGAAAATTGAAATCTAGGTCATGGCCTAAAAATTTGATATTTCGTGACCGAAAAATTGAAATCTAGGTCATGACCTAAAAATTGTTTTTTTTCAAGTTTTTTCAAGTTTTAAACTCCTACTCACCTAATAAAACATAGATACTTCCAATATACAAAACCAATGCCAACACATATCCAGGAACAATTCCATTCGCTGGAGCAATGGATTTCAGATAAATACACTGAATCAGAAGCCACGCACATGCAGCAATTAATCCAGCTATACATCTAGTGATAAGAAATATATACTTCTTTTTCGAATCGTTTTGTAATTTTCGATAAAGTGGTACAAGTACGAAAAGACAATAGATATTCATAAGACCAGCTATAGAGAACAGAACCAGCGATGAGTAGTAATCCACATTTGAAATTGTTATGGCTGTTTCTATTCTCTGAAAATCAAGAATTCTATGCTTTCTGATTCACAGAGTTACCTCCATAGATTGACACGGATTAGTTGAATTGACACAAACTTGGAATACATCTTCTAATTCACCATAATATCTGGAACAGTTTGCAAAAATCGAAGCTGGTCGGTGAGTCATTTTGGGGTAGAAAAAAAGGGTGTCAATGAGAATTTCTCTAAATTTTTGTGATACCTTATATTGTTTGTGTTAGGAATTACCTTAGGCATCACACTTTTCCTTTTTCACTTGTCGCTAGTCATCACTGTTTCCTCTTTTGGTGAGAATAACTTGTTTCGCACTGATTTTATCTGATATAAGTGATTTTTTGGAAATTCGAACTACTGTAAAACCTGTAACAGAAGGGTCCTACTTTGAGCCAATTTAGCTCGGTTCGTGTGGAAAATATGAAAAAAAATTGTCAGCTAATAAATTGTTTATCATAATACCACAAACATTTCATCAGCTGGCAAATTGTTGATATCTCCTACAGCCGAGATAATTGAGCTCAAACTTAACAGTGTGTGGGGCCCTTCTTTTAAAGGTTTTACGGTACTCATACCTGCTGAGCAATGTATTTTGAAATGTGTCGATCGAAAAAGAAGTTGATAAAAGGGTCTAACAAGAAGGTTATAGATCTGAAGTGAATTGGTTTCTGGTACAAAAAAGTTACTACAAAGTGTTCAACTCTCTGGTTTTGTTCTGCTATTCATAAAATTATAGGGCGTTTTTAGTTTTTTTTTAAGCGGTTAGCATTTTTTCAAAATCAAACCTCACCCTAAAACAGTTTCGGTACACGATATGACAGTTGGCACTATCAACTGATCAGCTCTATAGAAATCATCACAATCATCCGATGTCGACACTAAAAATTTCAAATTTCTATCCGCGATTTTTCTACTCACTAACAGTTGCCATAAGCCAATAAGAGTCCAGTTGGGATCAGCTCCACAGAGCTCAAAATAATCAAAACCGCACATGTCCAAGCCAATCGAGCTCTTCCGTGTTCCGATGGAGATGATGTTATATTTCCCATTTTCCTGGATTTGTAACTGTGCCAATAGAGGGATACGGTAACGAATAAGAGAGTTGAGGTGGCACCAATGAGGATAATACAAGACACACTAACTGAAAATCAAAGAGAAATTTTAGAAACTCGAAAACCTGAATTCCAGCAAAAACACTAAAAATTATGATGTTCAGAACATTAACCAAAATCTCAAAAAAAAATTGAAATCTTCAATAAATCTAAATGTTCCAGTTCCCAAAAAACTTACACAACAACCATTTGACAATAATTTGACAGCTGGAACTATCACAACTGATTGGTCCATCTACGGCGTCTGCTGCTTGGAACAACCCCATTGGTATCTGGAAAAGGGTGATCCCAAAATATATCAGATTAATTTCTTTTGGAAGAAATTCTGGGATTTTTAGGCGGACTAAAAAAACTCTGTCACCGTAAACACTCTTTTAGAATGTATCATTAACTATAAAGCTTGAGCCAGTTTATCTCGGTTCCTGTCAATGATACAAAAAAGTTGTCAACTAATAAAATATTGGTTTTATTATGATAAACAATTTATCAGTTGACAACTTTTTGATATCATTTATAGGAACTAAGAAAATTGTACTCAAAGTGGACATTGTGCAGGTCTTACGGTATCGAATCTTTGAGTCTGCTTTTTTCTAAACTTGTTCCATATCTGAAAACCAAAAATGTAAACTATGACTCACCGAAACACAAGCTGCAAAAATACAAATTCCTACTGCCAACAAATACATGACTTTTACAGTCAATCGATCCCTGTAGAATAACGGGCGCATCACTCCAAAATATGTTATGACAGCTACTCCGGTGAAGGATCCTGAACCTTGGAAACTATGGTTGTTATTCTCTCGTGCGTCGGCGGCAACATCTGGTCAGAGGTTGGTCCGCTCATGACCCGTTATGGATCCGTTTTTGGCCGATTTCCGACCAAAACCTGGCAAAGATCTCCTCAACTTCCGACCATAAGTTACAAGCCGTCAGCCTGTAGCTTACCCAATAAACTGAAAATACTAAAATCGTAGACAACAAAAAATATTGCATAAAAGGCAAATGAGTCTTGAAACGGTGCATCGAAAAAATCGGTCGATTGAATAATCACTATGCACAGAGCCACGAGAATAGCAGATGACAAACGAACCACCACGAAAACATATCTTTTTTTTGTTCTGGAATTTTCAGATTCTCGTAGGTTTTTTAATATTTTTTAAAACCTTACTGTTCATTGAGGGTCCGTAGCAGCAGAATAGTTATAAACAAACAGTATAAATCTATTAAAACGGCCAGAAAACAGATCACAGATGGAATATAAAAACCCATCCATTTCCGAATTGTATGACATGTGGACATGTCCTGAAAGTATTATTTTTTCGATATATTGAAAGAAATCGGCTCACCTCTATCAGCCCACATGGATCCGTTGCATTTCCACATTGCTCATATTTGTGCTCAAATGAAACATGTTTTGTGCAATTTGCGAATATGCCACCGCTAATTTCTTCCATATTGGACGACAAAATCAATATAATGCAATAAACCATTTTCATGATGTGTCGACTGATAATAGCAAACTTTTGGTTTCTTGATAACAGGGCGACTCGCATCACTTTTTAGGCGGAGACCTTGATAATTTCTTTTTAATCCAAGTTAACTAGAAATAAAGTTTTGATAGTTAGTTTTGAAAGTTTACCTGTAGCTTTACGGTTCGAGATATGTTTTTATCGAAAAACATATTCATTATTGGGTCGGCCATAAATACAATGGATCTGGAAACATCATTTGGTTGAAGCTAAAATAAAAACAATGGATCCTTACCCCACAAAAGTCTCCAAAGAAGAAATTATCGTTTGTATTAACAGTTTATCAGCTATATAAAAATTTTCACATGTGTTCAAGTCATCTAAAAAACAAACAAAAAAGTTATTATCATAAAACCTTTAATAGAAGGGCCCCCCCTGACTTTCAACTTTGAGCCGATTTTTCTCGGTTCCTGTCAAAGATATAAAAAAGTTATCAACTGATAAATTGTTTATCACAATATTCAAAATATTTTATCAGTTGATAAGTGTTCAACATCTTTCACAGGAATCGAGATAATTGGAATCAAAGCTGACGGTTCGGGTGGGCTTCCATTAGAGAAAACACAGTAGAAAAGGTTCAAATTTTGAATGAAATTTGATTACTCTGGTCTAATCCAATGATGATTCCTTCTGGAAACAATTCCACTATACTGAAAATAATCAAAGCGAAAAATGTCCAGGTCAACCGGATACGAGCGCGAGCTGTCACTTCTGGAACTTCGATGCCATTCTGGAAAATTCGAATTAGAAAGTGGAAAATTTCAGTTTCAGGCTTACCTTTTTGGCTTTAAAATGGTACTAATACAACGAAACCAAAACAAATCCAGTCAGCAGGATAGTCAATGATAAAGCTAAGCAAACAAATGAAACTGGAAATTATAAAAATTCTCAATACTTCTAGAAATTTCTTCTCACAAGTTATCCACTCCACAACTTTTGCACAATAATGGAGATCACATTGAATGGGTCCTGGAGCATTACTAGCTGCTTGATAGAGGCCCAAAGGGATCTTGATTAAAGATATTTTATTCTAATGTGGAGGCCTATACTTGAATTTAAAACTCTATTATCTCAACTTTTATAAAATACATATATCAAAAAGGTGTCAACTGATAAAATGTTGGTAATATTGCGATAAACAGTTAATCAGATGACAGATTTTTGTTATTTCTTTTACAAATTGAGATAATTGGATGTTTACAGTAGCTCACCGCAATTGATAAGGATACAATCCAAACGGATCCTAGCGTAATATAAAGGGAACGAAGTGTGATTTTGTTATGGTAGAATACAGGATGCACCACACCAAAATAGGTTATCAAGGAGATCATTATATAGGACACTGGAATTTAAAATTTTCAGTAAGGCTATTTAAAAATTGAAAAAATTACATAACAAACTGTCCATGCTAAAATTGTAAATTGAGAATCCGATAGCATAAAAAGTGAAAGATACTGGAGAAGTTTCAAGATATAAAACTTTCTCCATTATCAAAAGAGAAACAACAGCAAAAATAGAAGAGAGTAATCGACTGAGAACGAAAACGTAATGTTTTCGCATTCTGAAATTAAAGTTTTCTGTCGAGAATTAAGATTAAAAAACTAACTCATCACTCAAATAGTAAAAAATATACACCGTTGTGATCAAGCAATAAATGTTCAAAACTGCTGAAACCACAAAACAGAAAGTGGACAAATACAGATTCAACCAATGGAAAACCATCCTAGCCGAGTAGAGATCCTTTGAAAAACTTTGAATTTCGAAAGTCAGAATTTCTGATTCTTACCTGGATAAGCTCACATTGATTGGTTGTGTTTGTACAGTTCTTGTAAACATGTTCAATTGAAAATCGATGAGTACAATTTTCAAAGAAGTCGTCGTTGGCCATTTGTGGAATTTCTAATCAATAAAACATGCTGCGGGGTGTTTATGAATCACTGATAACCGTTTTTTCTTCTTTCCGTTGCCTTCGAGAAATTCTTGACTTCATTATTGAGTACTGAACATTTATTTTTCCTTATTTTTTATGAAGATTAAATTTTTAGACTCTAAAACTTTCAATACCGTATTTTCTTCTAATAAAATACCACTCGAACAGTATCAATTTTGAGCTAAATTATCTAGATTTCTGCTGAAGATATCAAAAACTTGCCAACTGATAAAATGTTGGCGATATTTTGATAAACAATTTATCAGTTGTCAAAATTTTTATATAATTTACAGGAATCGAGATAATTGAGCTCAAAGTTGATGGTTTGACAAATATAAAAAATGAAACTTACATGACGAGTAACTGTTTCTGAAAATAACGGATCAAATGTTAATGTAAAAATTGGATCGAAGAAAAGACCAATCGTCCATAAAAGTGTCAAAATAACGCATGATATAACAAATTGTAGACGAGATCCACTGGATTCTAGCATGTCGCATGCATCAGAATCTGGAGAAATTTAGATTCTTAGATTTTTAGATTTATATGTTTCTTTCTTAAAACCCACCTTGATCCTGCGACCCAACACTATTCACCAGCATAATTGCAGATGCAATTTCAAAAATCGCCATGGTCCCAAAAACAAAAAATCCTCCGAACAATTTCTTTTTCACGCCAGTCATCGCCTTCTGATGACTAGAATAATCACCTCGTTTCTTTGATTTTCTTTCATGTCTCCATAACGAAAAAATTACGAAAAATTGTGTTCCGAGGCACAATATGAATGCAATTGAAATACAAACAACTAGAAAAATGATGAGCTTTAATTTTGTGCTTTTCGTGTTTTTTAGTACTTCCAAATATCAAAACAGGTTCGGCACAACTCGAGTAGTCACACAAGAACGGAGTATATTTTCCGACGAATGCGGCTTCAACGATACCACATCCAACCTGCATTTTTTGTAGGTCAAACTTTAGAGGATTTTCCAAACTTCTGATTACCAGAAATGTTCAGTTTAAATTGAACTGAATACCGTAAACGCTCTAATAAAACGCCCCCTCACACTCGCAGCTTTGAGCTCATATATCTCGATTCCTGTGAAAGATATAAAAAATTTGTCAACTGATAAAATGTTTATCATAATATCGTTCACATTTTATCAGTTGACCACTTTTTGATATCTTTCACAGGATCCGAGATAAATAGGGTCAAAGTTAAAAGTTAGAAAGGGGCTCGATAAGAGTGTTTAGGCCCATACTCCCAGGGGGCATCGAAATAGGGGCATCGTGCTCAAAGGGGGCATACACTCATAGGGGTCACTAACTCATAAGGGGCATCCTGAAGTTGTTTCTTAGGGGGCATCCCACCATGTCTCATAGGGGGCATCGGACCAAATGCTCCCAGGGGGCATTGATAGTCTCTTCAGCACAGAACAATTTCCACAATTTTTTTCATGATGAGTGAAAAATATGACACAAAATCAAATAGAACAATGTGACAATGAGAAGTGAAAATTTTCTGTCGTATTTTTTAAAAATTCAAAAATATTGAGATTCTGCGATTTCGAAGTTCTGAAATTCTAACATTCTGAAATTCTCAGACTCTGAAGTTCCGAAATTCTCAGATTCCGAAATACTGAAATTTCGAAGTTCTGAAATTCTAACATTCTGAAATTCTCAGACTCTGAAGTTCCGAAATTCTCAGATTCCGAAATACTGAAATTTCGAAGTTCTGAAATTCTAACATTCTGAAATTCTCAGACTCTGAAGTTCCGAAATTCTCAGATTCCGAAATACTGAAATTTCGAAGTTCTGAAATTCTAACATTCTGAAATTCTCAGACTCTGAAGTTCCGAAATTCTCAGATTCCGAAATACTGAAATTTCGAAGTTCTGAAATTCTAAGAATTCTGAGATTTTCAAGCTCTGAAATTCAGGAATTCAGAAACTCCCTCAAAAAAAAACTGTACCCCCGAATAACAAGCGTTGTACCCCTGAATGAAATGAGTTGTACCCCGAATTTTCGGCAGAAATTCTACCCAGTTGACCCTCCGAAATAACACCTTCGATCGTCTGCAATTGTGTTTGTTTTCCTCAAAAAACTACGAAAAAGATGTAAAAACAAAAATTCATCATGTTCAGAATCATATACTCAAATTGATCTCAATGACCCCTATGAGACTATCAATGCCCCCTGGGAGCATTTGGTCCGATGCCCCCTATGAGACATGGTGGGATGCCCCCTAAGAAACAACTTCAGGATGCCCCTTATGAGTTAGTGACCCCTATGAGTGTATGCCCCCTTTGAGCACGATGCCCCCTATTTCGATGCCCCCTGGGAGTATGGACCGAGTGTATACGGTAGATTAAAGAAAAATGGTCTAAAATTTAAATTCCAAAAACCTACTGCCACAATAACCGCACAACTCCAAAAAACGAGAAGTATCGTGACACATTTTCGAAGAGACATTTCCCGTTGATAGTAAACTGGATGGACGACGGCTACATAAATTGTAAGCGTTGTTCCAGCTATTCCGCCTGAAAACTATTTCCAAATAGCCGTAAAACCTGTATTAGAAGAGCCGGACTTTCTATTGTTTCAAGGTACTTCTGTAGTGCCCTTCTATTACAGGGGTCCTTCAATGTTTTCCTGCCATTTTCTCCAATTTGTTCATTGAAAATTTCGGTGGGGTTTTGATCAAATTCATGAAAAAATCATCAAATTCTATCAATTTCATTCAAATTGAGCAGGTTATTGAGCAAAAAGTTTTTTCAACAATTTTCTGTGAAATTGTGGTATTTCCAGAATATTTTTCATTAAAAAGGTACGGGAGTTTTTAATTCCAAACAATACATTCTGAAGGGGGCCATTCTAATACAGGTTTTATGGTATATAGAAAAAACAGGACCTACCCAAAAACGATAAAAAACTGAGCATTTCAAAAATGATGAAAAAAGCAATAACCCAAAAATTAAAATGTGTTAAGAAGATCATTGTTGGAAGTAGGAATATAGAAATAGTAGACATTGTAGAAGATATTGCACGACTCAAAATGAACACATATTTCTTTTTGGCTCTGGAATTTTTTTTAATTGAAGAAGTTTTAGACTGCAAAATGCCTACCTGTCATTCATTTTCCTTAAACTTGGAATCAGTACCCAAAATATATAAATATTCAAAAGTAAAGCAAAAAAGCATAAACAGCATGGAATTACGAAAATCGCCCATCTTAGGAGCATCTCGATGTCGTACACATCTTTTGCATGTTCACAGAAATGCGAAATATTTCTGCATTTTTTGAAGGGATCAAAATCCGGAAGATAGTATCCGGGACACTCACCGAATGGATCCGGAGAAGAAAAAGACATTCAGAATACACAAAATGAGGCAAAAAATATAATCTGTGAAAGGTTTAGTAGTGATAACTGGTGAGGGAGGTGACGACTGATAAGAGGAGAAAAATTGGGAGAAAATGTTTTATGGACATGGTAACCGAACGTGACCAACTCTCCTAGTTTCTTCGATGTCACTTGTCAACGAGGAATCAGGGAGTATGATTATAGCTTATTTATCACTCGTGTCATGGAAATCGACAGTATCGTTTGTATGGATTTAGATTCCGAAGTGAGCAATGTTTGGGGTGGGGAGGGGACGGGTTACTGTAGCTAATTTATGGTAGAAATTTTGATAGTTTAACCACGTGTAAAAGGCCAGGGTATGACACAGGAGTCGAACAGCTGTGGTATGCAGATGCCCTCTAATGAGAAGAGACCCTTCTCATTAGGGCGCATCCGCATACCACAGCAGTTCGAACCTTGTGAATATCAGGTTCGGAGATTCCGAGATTCTGAGATTCTGAGATTCTGAGATTCTGAGATTCTGAGATTCTGAGATTCTGAGATTCTGAGATTCTGAGATTCTGAGATTCTGAGATTCTGAGATTCTGAGATTCTGAAATTCTGAGATTCTGAAATTCTGAGATTCTGAGATTCTGAGATTCTGAGATTCTGAGATTCTGAGATTCTGAGATTCTGAGATTTTGAGATTCTGAGATTCTGAGATTCTGAGATTCTGAGATTCTGAGATTCTGAGATTCTGAGATTCTGAGATTCTGAGATTCTGAGATTCTGAGATTCTGAGATTCTGAACCATGTCGAAATTTTCTTAATTTTCGATTTCCCTAAAATTTCAGATGAGATATCGGAACGAATCTCAAATAAAAGATGAAACAGAAGAAGAGCCGCCACGTCAGTCTGCTGGATTCGAATGGGCTGCCGAACCGGATGAGATGCTCTTTCCGTGTTGTGCAACAAAATTCGTGATGCTAGGAATCGCCGCAACACTTGTCGTTGTTGCGATTCTCAATTGGATTCTTTCACATTTTTGGGGTTTATTTGTCTGGCTGGTAAGCTTCTAGGGGGGGGGGGGGGGCAGGGGGTTTTTTGCGTACAGCTATCATACTTTTATGTATCCTTTTGGGCGCCCGCGTGGCTCAGTTGGTAGCGGCGCCGCACCTTCAATACTTGTCCCACAAGTTGAACTTCTCAAGAGGGCTTCAAACACACTCAAATGAAAAATTCTAGAATCATTTTTAGACATTTTCCACTCTCTTCATGGGTCTCATCATCTTCCTTCCTGAGTACTTTTCCAATATCATCAACTTCGCCATCAATTTTTGTGTCTGGGTTAGATCCTCTGTCTAAAAAGCCAACTCTAATATTTTGTTTCAGGTTGCTTTTACCATTTTTGCTCTTGTCACTGTCATTCAAGCGGCAATATGGAAAAGCGACGTGCCGGATATCAGCGAACATAATAGGAGGATCCGTTCTCAATATACATGTGCAATAGTTCTGGGAACCGTCGAATTTTTCTTGGCGATTTGCGTTTGCATTCTGATGTTCCGAATGCTCTACTACTACTATCAGAATCGTGGACAGGAGAACATTGTTGCATTGTGTGCATAGAAGTTTTTCAATGTCTCGATAACTCTGCTCCATTTCTCTGAATAAAGAATAAAGAACGTGTTTGAAACTTTTGTGGCCGATTTTTATTTAAAAAAAAAGAAAAATACCTGGAAGTTCTTCCTGAAAACAAGTTTTTCATTCTATTTAAAATGATAAAAATATCAAAAATACCAGGTTAATTCTTATAGTTTAGAAGATGCATGAGCACGAGCCACTCTTATAGAAGCACACCCAACCTTTGAGGTCATGTATCTCGGTTCCTTTAAAATATATCTTTACTATTAACAATCACCAAATTCTGTGTGTGTGTGTGTCCGGTGTTCCCGGTTCTGAGACCGTAGCGAACTCACCACTGGACCAAAATTTCCCAAATTTTCACAGATGACCAGAAATAGCAGCGAGATGATGCCCGTCTATTTTAAATTTTCGATATTCGATTTTTAACGTCTTCTGGATATGATCTTCTACTTCTACAGTGCAAATCTTTAGAAATCATTTTCACGCCATTCCCGCCCATCCCCCTATTTTTTTTTTCATATCCAGTTATATCAAACAAAAAGATGATTTTGTGCGAAGAGATATTCAGTCTGGGTTCTGAATATTTGAAAGTATCTAAAAATTATGATAAGAAATCAGAGAAAAAGACAAGCTCCCTCAAAGATCAATACGAACGCGTTCGATGTAGTCTTTGAACTTCTTAGGCTTTAAGTTTCAAGAAATTAAAATCTTTCGAATTTCGAAGGTTTTGAATTCCCAAATTTTCCAAATGTTTTAAATGCTGAAACTATAGAAACCTGGATTTTTAGAACTATAAATTTCCAAATTCCAAAAGATTAAAATGTGTGAATTTTCGGATCGAAAAATTCAAATTTTTAAAATTTTTAAAATAACCGCAAATCAGAAATTCCAGAAAATTCGCAAAAATCGGAAACTGAAGATCAGAAAGGCAGAATCTCAAAAAAAAATCAGAAACCCAGAAATTCAGAAAATAAGAGTCTCAAAAAACTAAAATTTCTGAGATTAAATTCTTGAATTTCAGAAAGTTCTAATTTGGTAATTCGGAAATTCGAAAAAACAAAAATTAAAACTTCAGAATCTTAAAATAAATCAGAATTTCAGAATTTCAAAACTTCAGAAACTCAGAAATTAGGAAATTCGAAAAATCAGACTTTCTGAATCATGAATCCCTGGATTTTCAAATTTGTGAACTGCTGAATTTCTGAACCTCTGAACTTCTTTTGAAAAATTTAAAAACTTCCAAACTCCTAAGTTTCTCTGAAATTTTGAATTTTTGAACTTTTTCAATTCTGAACTCATGAAATTCGATTTTTAGATTTTTTTTTTTCGAAATTTTGTTGCCAAAATTTTTAGTCGCTGTTTCGAAGTGAAACGATTTTCTGGATTTCAAATTTTAAAAGTTAAAAAATTTCCGATCTTATGGCTTTATAGGCTATATTCCTCAGTTAAAAAAAGAATGGCTTTATAGGCTATATTCCTGAATTTGCCAAAAATTTGCAAAATTGGATTTGGGATTTCAGAAATTCCAGATTTGTAGAATTTCTGAATTTCAGAATTTTCGAACTTCTAATATTGCGAATTTAAGAGTTACAGAAGTTTTGTTAGACTTATTTCCTTCATCACAATGTCTAAGCTTATATGCATTAAAAACACTTTTCATTAACTGACTTTTCGAATTCTCAAAAATTCAAATCTCCTCATATCCGAGATGTTAAATTCCGAAACTACCGAGCTCCTGAGTTTCCAAAAAAATCACTTTCTTAATCTCAAAATTTCCTAATTTTTGAATTTGTGAGCATAGGCCCTAAAAAATAGCCCCTGTAAAAGTGATGGACTCTCTTTATTAGATTACGGGTATTGTAAGCGGGGCCAGGAGGTTTAGCCCCGAAGGGGCGTAAACCGACTCTTCAAGAAGTAATTAACTGATAAAATGTTAATCAGACTATCAGAAACATTTTATCAGTTGACCACTTTTTGATATCTTCCACAGGAAGGGAGACATAGTTGACTGTTGGGTTGGCAGGCGTTCTATTAGAATGCTTACGATGTTTAAGTTGAGGAAAATTGTACAAGAAAAGCTGTTGACTGCAGAAATAAAGTTTGAGTGGTGTTGAAATGATTTTGTATTCTGGATTCCAGAAAACCCCAAAGTTCCGGATTCCGGGTTTCAAGGGGACTATGTCGGATCTCTGAAAAATTAATGTTACAAAATTCCTTGAGATCAACAAAAAGCTATATCGACAAAAAAGGTCACCTTAACGTGATTCCTCCCTGAAGGCTACAGTCTGATGACTCCAATCAGAAAAACGAAGGGCTTCTATTCAAATTCAAATCAGTTTCCGACTTATTTAGAAAAACCATATAACTTATCGTCTCTTTAAATCTTCAAGGTACACTCCGAATTGCTCATCAGTGACTAGAGTAACACAAATGTTTCAGATGAGACCTCAGGAAGAAACCGACACTGAAGCAGGCACAAAGGAAAAGGAGAATCGAAAGAAAGCTGGATTTGAATTAGCCGCCGAGCCAACAGAGGTGATTATCTTCTTCCCAACCATCTATTACATGTTTGGAATTGCTGTTATCGTTACGGTTCTTTCAATTATTTTATGGATTTGTACAGCTGCAATCTGGAGTTTCTTTGTCTGGGCTACTCTCGCAACCCTATCGATTGGATTGATCATTTTTCTCCAACATCATCAATTTTGCAATCCACTTGTGTTACTGGGTATCCTAATTAATTTGCTAATTAAGCAAAAGTTAACTTTTCAGATTGCATTCTGCATCTATACACTGGTCATGATTATCAAACTGGCAGCGATTATTGCAGACAAAAGAGAAGAAGTCAAAAGAAAATATCCTGGTTATTCACAAAAACAATACGATGGTACTTTGAGCACTTCATGAAACGTTCATGATGTCTTTATTACAGATGCATTAGCAGATTTCGAAAGAGGAGTCCCCGCATTCTATGCATGCTCCTCAATCATATTTCTTCTCACTCTCTTGGTCACACTCCTCATGCTTCGGATGACTCTCTTCTATTATAAAAATCGCTGAATATTAAAATTGTAATTCATGTAATAAAATAGTTAATAAAATAAATTGTGTGATTTATATGTCAGTTGCAGTTTTCGAAAACAACAAAATCCAGTCTACAACAGCCGCTCGGAGACTTCAGATTTTTTTTTGCTGTTGTCACATTTTATACAACTCAAACTTTTTTTTGAAGTAGACCAATTTTTTAAAAACGTCTCTCAAGTTAAATACCGTAGACACTCTAATAGAACGCCCGCCACCCCAACAGTCAACTTTGAGCCCGTATATCTCATTTTCTGTACAAGATATCAAGAAATGGTAAACTGATAAAATTTTTATTATAATACCAGGCAATTACTCTTTGACTACACCACTCTTTGACTACACCTACTCTTTGACTCCACATTCTCTTTGACTACAAAATCTCTTTGACTACATTTATCTCTTCGACTACACTTGTCTCTTTGACTACACTTTTTTGTTTTATAGTACTTTTTGACTGAATTTATTGGAGTTTCCGATTTTTGTCTCATATTATAGGCTTAGGCTAAAACACCAGTTTTCCGGTAACCGTTTCAGCCTAAGGCTTTGATTTGTACAGAAAATAATAAAATTTTGGATATCTCACCGAAAAAAAGTGAGAATTTTGCTGATTTTCGCGAATTTCAGTACTTTTTTCACTTTTATGTATTTTTGGAATTGTCAGTTTTTTGTTTAAAATTATACGCTTAGGCTCAACTTCTTCTTTTTCTCCTTTTTGCTTTTTCTTCTTTTCCGTTTTTCTTCTATATTCTGTAANAATGCCCACAAAAACTGCAGAAAATTTAAAATTTTTTAAAGTGTCAAAGAGTAGGTGTAGTCAAAGAGTAACTGCCTCACAGGTGTTAGAAAAATTGTCTCATTTATTAGAATTTTCGCACTGTAGTTTTCAGTTTCTTGTCCTATTTTTCACCGACTTTCCAACATGTTCCAGCAAGCAAATCACATTCTTCACTCATCACAAAACCTCAAATTCTCATTTATTTTTACATTCAAAACTAGATGACTGAAAATCAATATCATCCAGCTGTGAAGTTAGTTTTCATTCAAAATGAATTCGTATCCCCATTTCCCATCCCCAGTCTTTTTCAGCTACATGTTCTCGCCACGTGGCAGAGCTCGAACTGGCGGAGACTTCGCAGCCGATCCGGATAGCTCGTGCATTTGTATGCCTATAAAATTCTGGTTCATCATGCTTGCATTAATTCATTTATGTCTTGTTATCATTTCACTTTCTGTCAAATTCTATTATATTTTTGAGGTGATTTTCAAGTTTTCCGACACGCTGGAACCCTCGAATTTCCAGACAATTCTAGTTGTTCTATCCCTTTTTATCATCTGCCTTCCCGATACTTTTGCCGTTTTTGTACACTATTTGGTTCAATTAATTTTCTGGGTGAGAAATCCTTTTCCTTCTTCATTTCTCCTGATTTTTCTTTCTTTTTCCAGTTTGTCATTGCTATTATCTACCTCGTCGTGTTGATCAAAGAAGCTGAAAAAGAAGCAGATGCTGGTCGGATAACACTCTTTCTTCTCTATATAACTCTCTGTCTCACATATGCTATCATTTATTTTCGACTCGTTGTTGCTGGTCGTTAAGATATCTAAATCTGCACTTAAATAAATGTTTCATTTTACACGAAAGAGAGAGAGAGAGAGAAAAATACGGCCCGTTATCAAATTGACAAAAAATAACAAGTTTAACTTCTATACTGATACAACACGAAATCGATGAGAGATGTGTACTTGGAAGAAGGAATATGAAAGTTTTAGATGGGGAAAAATTCTTGGGGAAAAAGAGCGAGAGAAATAGCAAAGAGAAGGTGTTCGAGATATGTTCCTAATACTGATTGGAATGAGCAAATAGTTCAATTTGAAGCTAGGTGGTGAAACGAAATGAAATGATTATATGTGCTGAAAAGGAGCTATGACGGAAGGGTATGGGATGAGAAAGATCATATGGGAATCGTCACACGGGATACGTCTACTCGTAACCTCTCGTCACATTGGTAGCTGTTGGTGCTGCTGCTGCGCATGCATCATTGCCATTTGCTCTAGTTGATTGTGCTGTTGTTGCTGTCTCATGCCGGTATCGATAATATTCTTGATCTTGTCGCCTGAAAATTACGATAGAAATCACACTGATAACGAAACGCATTTCTATGAATCACTCACAGATCTGAGGATTCGGCCGACGATAGTGAAGCAAATATTCATGTGTGATGTTCGCTTGCTTCAGGAAATGGTACATTAAGCAGTTCTGTAGAGACCACTCGGTGCCGCAGATAGCTAAAATGAAGTCAAGCCATTCGTAGAGAATGACGTCGCTCATTTCCGGAAATAGCGAAGTGAACGGGTTCGTCGGACGGGTATAGCTGAAAAAGAATTGCATTCAATTTTTCAAGAGGCTAAAGAAAACAACTCACAGCATCTCCACTTTAACTCTCTCGAAGAATCGTGGATTTCCATTTCGACAGAGGTTCGATAGGAGGCTGACCGACTTCCACACAATATCCTCGTGATCTTGCCTCTTCTCAATGGCATCTCGGAATTGCTGAGTGTTGGGTTCGGATCGCATAACTTCCACAACCTGAATACCGTTCTTTTGCAAAATGAAACAAAAACTAAATTAACTCACTGCTTTCTTCCATTCATCCAAACTCTCATATGCCCTCTTTAACAAAAGAATAGGCAGCGTTTCCTGGGTCGTTCCGGGGAGATCAACAAACGGCTCGGCAAATGCTGGAACGTTCTCTATGACCCGCTTCATAACGTTCACAGCGAGCTTTCTGCATTTTGGGGCTCCGGCGTTTAAGAAATGGAGCAAGACAATTGCAGCATCCGGATTTGCACTTATCATTCGGCATGCCTGAATAGCAGAGTCCAGGATATCATCTTTGCCCATTTTTGTGACGTTGTTGAGAATCGATAGGCAATTTTCATAGATGGACAAGATCTGATTTTTTGCAGCGTCGATCTGATTTTTTGGAGTTCTCGCATCTGAAAAATGAAATTGATTAAGTTCAAAATAAAAAGAAATCCTTACTTTGCTGCTCTCTTAGCTGAGACTGGAAACGCATCGAAGTGCGCAAAACGGCTATCGCGTGGGCGGTCACCCCATTCCGCACCATGATGACTTTGTTCTGCTTATTGGGTTGTCCAATATTCCGAAGCACTCCTGTCGCTCGCTCAGCAATAGTCGCATCATCAGAGCCAACCACCTGTATCACCCTTCGAATTGACTCTTCCATATCTTGATTTCCAATTTCTTGAAGCAAGGACAATCTTTGCATACAAGCCAACAGTTCATGAAGTAGCCGAGTGGATCCATGGTACAAAAGATTACACAAATCTTGGGCACCTCCCAACTTCACAAAGTCCTCTCCAACTCTTTCGATCGAGCAGAACGTGGTTAACGCTTGCATAGTTGGCCAGAGGAGATCTTCATCGCTGTACTCATCCTTTATGATATCATGAAAGATTGGGATGACATGCAGTTCATAAACAATGCTCCATATCGAACGGTTTCTCCTAGATAGGTTCTTGATGATGGATACGCAAAATCCTTTGCTCTTTCGCTTTGTTTCTTGTTGTTGCAAGTTCTTGATGGCGAATTGCATTACCACTTCATGAAGACGTCTGTGGCCAGCGGATTGTTCCTTTTCAGAGAACACGTACTTCATGAAAAAGGGTTTACAGCATATTTGAGCCAGGAGAAGCATCGCGGCCTGATCGTAAGCCGTGTCCAAACGTGAGGCTCTCTCAATCACCAATTCGTAGATGCTGTACGGTCTTGGCACTTGAAAACTGTGCTTCGATGAATTTGTGTTCATCAGCTCTAAATTGAGCGAGTGGAAAATCTTCTCCGTCATCCTCACATGTTTTGGTACTGCAGCACGATGGAGTATTTCGAATACTTTACGGATCACGTTCTCGTTTTCTTGCGGTCTCGGCACCAATACTTCGAAAAGAGCATTGATGATTTTTCCCAAATCAGCTTGGCAATAAGTCGACTCAAGTGCTTCCGCCTTTGCAAGTGGCTCCAGTTCTCGAATAGCAGCAACTTGATCACTCATTTCATACGATGCCAGGCTTTGTACGATTTCCGGAATACTCATCCGTTCTCTTCTCTTCATCGGATCTTGATTCTCAACTGATGAATGCGACACTTTCGAAAGCGCTGGTTGCGATTGATAAATCCAATTGTCAAACTGTCCGCATTGCGTGTTAACAGACAGTGCAGAGAACTTGGTCATATGCGACAAATTTGACATATTTGAAATTGTTGAACCAATCTGAAAAATTGAAACATCTCATGCTGAAATTCAAAACTCCCAAACTTACCATACTGGGCGGTCGTTGATATTGTTGTTGCTGTGGATTCGGGGGAATGTAGTTGCCTTGCATCCAATCATTCGTGTACGATCTTTTTACAGCAGCGCCTTCTCGAAGCTCATGAACCCGTGATATCGATGGCTCCATGTTTTGTGGTTGTGCTCGGAAGGGAGACGCTGAAAAGCGGGAGTTTCGGGAGATGCAAGAAGAACACACGAGACACAAAACAAGGAATTTGAAAATGATAAGAGGCGACCTATGTTTTTAAGTATCGAAAAGGTGAATTCCTATTAATTGCCAGAAAACTAATGAAAACTAACCGGGAGCTTGTCGAGCAGACAATGTGGAAGATGGTCTCACTGGAGTCGCCACTCGTGATGTTGATGGCAGCATTGGGTCGAATGATAGGGGAGTGCATGGTTGGGATCCGTACTTTTCTGTAATATAACTCAATTTCGAATTTTTCAAGGCGCTCCAGGGTGAATAAACGAACATTACATACATTGTCAAGTTAACTTTCTCACTATTTACACAACTCAAGTGCTATTTCACACCCTTTCTGAAGAGTCCACTTACCTATATCTGGACCTCGCTCCTCCATTTATGACGATAATCTGAGTGTCGTCTTCGTTTCTTCTGAAATTTGAAGTTTTCAAAAAAACATTCGCAGACACAAAAACAAGAAAAAGAAAGAGGGATCGATAGGGGTAATGAATGCAAATTGTCCCAAGTGGACCAATAAATCAGTTCATGTGGCCACACACTCGGTGGGGGGTGTCAGAGAGACGAACGGGCAATTGAATGCTGTTCAAATAGCAAAAGAATAAGAATAAGATCAACATAGATGGACGAAAAACAACCGGAACGAACTTTAGAATATGAGTTTTTGATCGATCTTTGCAATACTTACTAAAAAAGACACTTTTCGATATCAACATGGTGAGAGAAGGAAGCTGATAAGAAGGGAAATAATACTCCAGAAGTTCCTCCGAGAGGAGTACATAGGAACATGGAAGAGGAAAACGAAAGGCGCGAACGATTTAGTTTTGAATTCGAAAGGAAGGAGGGGGAAACAATTTTCAACATTTTCAGATGATAAATATGCTTTTAAAGCTTTTTACGTTACAAAACAGGTCAAAAAAGAAACAGATGAAAACTGAAGAAAAAAAACAAGTTGCAGAGGTAGATAAATCAAAATGCAATGGGGTTTGGTACGTCAAGATTTATGGTCGTTGGACGCGAGTATAGAAGAGAAGCAGTCAGCAACTTTCGAGTTACTTTCGAAGAAGAGAAAAAAATGAAGAAGGAAAGGGAGAAACCACTCGAATAATGTGCACCTGTTCGCAGTATATGCACACTGGTTTGATGAGGGACTATTCACTACGACGACAGGCATTAGTAATCAATCAATCGGCCACATTATTAACTCATCAGGCGTGTCATGTTGCGAAGAAAAATTGATTCTTCTCTTCACTTCTGTGCTACCAAAAAAAGACTAAAACTTCAAAAAGAGAATGACATGATTCACTTTTTATGTGCAAAAAGTAGAATGATCTGTAAACGGACAGCGGTCACCCCCGCGCGCTAATCGTGGTGAGGTATGCACACTTGTAAAATTCCGGGCCGGCCCGCCAAAGCTCGGGCCGGAAGGCCCGGAAGCAAAAATTTTGTCATTTTGAACCGAATTTTGAGCTCTCAATACAATTTTCTATATTTTTTTGTGCTTTTTGGATTGTTTGTCTGTTTGATCAAAAAATATTTTTAAAAACTCGAAAAAAATTACATAAGGGTCCCCTCTTGTTTTTTGAAATTTTCAAAACTTGTGGAATGACAGGCCCGCCGGGCCTCCGAAATTCGGGAAAAAGCCCGGCCCGGCCCGTTACAAGTATGATATTATGGAAAAGTGTGACAAACTGAAAACTCTGCTATTCGGAAAAGGTTTGTCACAGAGAAAACAAACAAATCTCAACAAACCAGACAGTAGAGGGGTGATAAATACGTTTTTCGTTATAAGATACACGGTTTGAATGATAAAAGAATGATAACAATTGTTGGAAGACTTGAAATTATATTGAACTATGAATACAGGAGACCGTATGAAACCGGCCGCAAAAATTGGCAAAAATCCGAGCTTTTAGGCGGAAAAAAGTCAATAATAGGAGGGCACTGTAAAATTTAAAAGCGCATCAGTGTGATCGTGGCGCATCAGCGCCACGAAAAAACCGTGTTCTGGGTTTTCCGGAATTTGTAGAAAACGAGCAAAGTTTTTGATTGTTTTTTTCGGTTTTTTAGATTAAAAACTTGCAACAGAAGCAAATAATGCAAATAATCGCACCTGTTACGCCTCTAATAAAACACATCTGCCTCCATATGCTAGCCCCTGGCGATGAATATCGTTGTACGGAACATCATCCGCAAAATGACTTTTTCCCATGCCAAACAACTTGAAAGTATTTGACACAGTTACGAAAACGTCCACAGAAAATAATCCCACGGCTAATTGGGCACAAAAGCGATAATTAGAGCCAATCGTTTCTTGGGAAAAGGTGAGAAAATTGGAGAAAGAGGGGGTGGTGGAAAGATGGTGGGGTTTGAAAATGTGTTGTAGTACACCACACCAACAGGACAAACAGAAAAAAAACGGGGCACCACCAACCGGAGGTGAATGGATGACTGAAGAAAAGGTGGCCCCGTATGAGAAACGGTGTGTAAAATAGTGTGGCAGACGAAGAGACGCGAGGTGTGACGCAATGTGGACTCTCTTCTTCTTCTGCACCATTCGTGTTCACCCACAGTCACCAACGGCAGGCAGCAGCAGGGGAATGAATGGGTCGGGGGAATTTGAAATTGAATTCGAGGGCCGACGCATACGATTTGAATTGTTGTATCGAATTAACCCAGAGAGGCGAGTGTATAATGAGAAAGCGAAGAGTGAGGAAGAAGGGAATCAGTAATTGGGGAAGCAAGCTATGAGTGAAAACAAGACTAATTAGATGCTATTTCTAGAACTTTCACGGCTCGCAGAGAATAATTTTTTTTTCAGTCTCTCACTTCCGTTTTCAAATAAGGCATTCAAATTCCAATTTCCACTCTCGACCATCGTCTTCGAGTACTCGAGTACCACTTCACTTCCTCTAATAGCACCAATAATGATTTCGTGCTGCTGTTGTTATTGATTGTAACCGAACTTTTATAAACAGTTACAATTTTGGAATCGTCTCGATGCGCATAGATTAAAGGCGCACGGTGTTCCAGGTGCCGCGGGTTTCGCGACGAAACAGGACCACCATGACGCCGCGCGTTTTCGATTCGTTCGACGAGCTAATTATTGCTGTTTTTGACGATTCTCACCGTTTTTTCGATGATTTTCAGCGTTTTGAATCATTTTTCGTTTAATTTCATCGAAAAAACGACAAACCCCGTAGAAATGTTGAAAAAATAGGAAAATTTACTTTATTTGAACTTGTTTGCATGAGAGAAACAAGCGAAAAATAAACGAAGACTGGTGGAAGATCGGATTGCATTATACGCAGTGCGAATTGCGCAATAATCCGCTCAGATATCCCCATCTCAAATATTGAATGGACAGAACAGACCAGAGGATAAAGAAATTCATAAGAGAGAATGCGCAACATATAATTATTTATGCTATTGATAATTCAAAATAAAATAACTTTCGTGTTTGAAAAAGCAACAACCTTATTATTAATGTCTAGTACCACCACCTATTCCGTGTGTCAGGCAGATGGTTGCTGCTCGGAAAAGCAGATGGACAGGAAATTGGCTGCGTTCTTCCTCTTCTTCTCCTCATCACATTCAAATTTTTGAACGTCTAAAGTAGGAGGACTAAACCTTGACGCTTACTTGAGGCGACAATCTGGAGAGTGAATCGAAAAACGGCAAGAAAGTTTTGTATCGAAAAAATCTATAAAACCTGATGATTGACAGTTGGAGGTATTAGAAGGAGGGGAAGGGAGAGATCTGGCGAGCAGATATTGTCTGCTGAGGCAATTTATCGGCATGGCAGGTCAGGTTTCGTTACGGAGACGATGCAAGAAGCATTGTCATTTGCAATTTTGATGAAAAGAGAGAAAAAAATGGGAAAAAGAGTATATTTCCCCCTAATGCACACTTTGAAAATAATTTTAAGAATTTATTCGAGATTTTGGTTTTGAAAGAAAAAAAATGAATGAAAAAAGGAGAAAAATGAACGAAAAAAAGGAGATCAAATTATGAGAATGTTCTGGGGG